ACATGGTGATTTGAAGCCAAACGTTCCTGATACCAAGGAAAGTGGTACGCAAGAGACACAAGTGAAGACAATCAGTTCACATACTGAAGTGAGCCATCTTAATGAGACAAGCAACTGCAGCAAATGTTCAATGATTGTGCCAGTGTGGGTATCTCACTGCAATGATCTCTCTACAGGTTCATCGAGATCAAGAAGATTGAGAAATCTGAGAAGACCAAGCTATCTCAGTTAGACCTAGGTGCAGCTCCACCAGCAAGAAAGCGTGTGTACAAGGAGATTGACAATCGACTTTCCAGACTGAAGGATCAGCTATCCCAGGGTGTCAAGACACCACTCCAGTTCTTGGATGCTGTGGCAAACTTCTGAAGATGGATTAAGGTTGTGTCAGTGTGACAACGATGTGAACTGTGATGTGAACTTTAACTGAACTCTTAGTGGCGAATATGTTAAAACAATGGATTTAAGGGATGGATGAATTAAAATGTTGAATGAAAAAAAGTAAAAGAGGGTATCAAGCATCTTGAGTCATTTCTTTTGTCTATAATTAGACAAATCCATTTTCATGATAGGGGTTAATTACCTGATTAACATGTGCAACCAGGTATGACATTGTTCTTTTAAGGTGTCTCAAAACTGGGCTGTCTTACTAATGAGAGGAGACCGATCCAGATAATGAGAAGCTAGAGTATGCCTTGTTGGACACACTGTCTGACACTTCGTTTATATTAGACAGCACTTGTAGTGAACTTGGTGTGGAAGGTACGAGTGTGAAATTAGCGTTATCTACTATGCTTGCTGAGGATCAGCTAGTGGAAAGTAAAAAGTTTACTGGACTATTGGTGCGAGGGTATGATAACCCTGACAGAATATCACTTCCTACAGTGTATTCAAGAGAAATAATGCCTGCTGATCGATCTCATATTCCCAAACCTGACACTGCCAAACAGTTGTCACATTTGGAGATGATAGCTGATAAGCTCATGCCATTGCAAGATTGTGATGTAGGACTTCTTATTGGCTACAACTGTTCGCGTGCTCTAGCACCACGTGACGTCATTCCTCCTGTTGGCAATGAACCCTATGGACCAGGAACTGATCTTGGTTGGGGAATAGTAGGTATAGTAGACCCTAACAAACTTGATGAGAACGTTGATGATCCAATTGGTGTTAGTCTTAGGATTTTGAGCTTCGAGGTTCTATCATGATATAACATTTATACTAAGTTTTCCTATAATAATTAGATCCACATCAAGTGCTTTTATGAGTTATCATGGTGTAATATTTATACATCATTTCATATAATTATAGTTTAGCAAGTAATACTTATCATCAGGTAAAATGCACATATAAAATATCAATAGTTTCAGTTATAGCTTTTTAGATAGATGCTAGCCTAAGGTAACGGGAGCACATCTCCTAGTCATACCATTCAATAAGACAAGAGTTATGTCTACATAGTTTAATAGATTTGAAGCTTTTAGATAAATGCTAGTCTAAGGTATCAAGATCCCATCTCCCAGACAAAAGATATGTCTACATAGTCTTATAGATTACCTTGAACTATTTTATTTAAGTAAATCTGTCATCACCTATATTAGAATAACATTCAGCAATTACTTCAATTTAGACTCATTTAAGATAAGCCCCCATACAAGCTCGTCTATAGTGCAATAAGGATTAGCCCCCATACAAGCTCGTCTATAGGGCATTAAGGATTAGCCACCATACAAGCTCTTCTATAGTGACACCATAAATTCTTTCAAAGCACCCAGTAAATATGTCAACAAGATTAGTGCCAGTCCAACAGGATTAACAGGATTAAGTATTCCCCTCTGTCTAGCCATTCATTAACCATAAGGCACAGCCCATCGTGTATCAACCAATCATATTTCTTTTTATTGTTCTAATTTTTGTTAAATTCATACAGAAGCCAAATGTAAGGCAGAAGGGGTTTGTCGCTCATACCAAGCAGATCTCTCTCCCACAGCCCAGAGCGTTGTACCGACTCTCTGTGGCACCATCAACTATGTTCTAAGATATTGTAAATTGCTCATTGTTAATTGTTCTTGTAAATAAAATTTTGATTAGTCTCCTTTGACTACGGCTATTTGCTGACTAATTCCCCAAGAAAACCAGCATGCCATTTGGACAGTTTTGTTAAACCAAACATTCCTAATAGTTCCATCACAGCTGGCTCCTATGAGGGCTGAGAATTGCACAAATCAAGTGTTTGTTGCCTTTCACGCTTCCATCAAGGAAACTCTCTCACCTGCCCAAGTGACAAAAATGATGGAACTTGACTTCAGTGAGCATCAGTCTGACAAGATTTCACTGTCCTATGATGACCAACAGTTTCTGTCAAAGCTTGAAGAAGGGATTCAGCAAAGATATGATCTACATTATACAATGCCATTACCATTCAGAGAAACAGAACCTGTTTTACCAAATGACAGATCCTTTGCTGTTCGCAGGCTAAATCAGTTGAAATGTAGATTCAAGAACAACTCGAAATACCGGAATGATTATGTGACATTCATGCAAAATATCATCCAGAATGGACATGGTGAGCTTGTTCCGGAATCAGAATGTCAAACTGTCACAGGCAAGGTTTGGTATATCCCACACCATGGGGTATATCAGTGAGTGAGTGAGTTGGGTTTAACGCCGCCTTTAACATTATTCCAGTTATATCACGGCGTGTCAGCTTAATGTGGGAGGAAAGCCCGAAGTGATGCAGGTCTCAGACGTTTACCACTTCGGTGAAACCCACGAGCACAGGTATGGTGCTGACAAACCTAGAAACATAATCAGGGCGAACCGGGATTCGAACCCACAATCATAGGTTTCTGGCCTGCCCAAGGGACGCAACTCTGCACAGCGAATCACGGCGCCTTAGACGACTGGGCCACCCGTGCCCCCTTAGGGTATATCAGCCCAAGAAACGAGATCAGATACGTGTGGTATTTGATTGCAGTGCCAAATTTTAGGGTCAATCTTTGAACGATCACTTGCTGCAAGGCCCTGATCTTACCAATGTTTTGATTGAAATACTTTGCAGATTCCGTCAAGAACAAGTAGCATTTCTGTATGACATTGAACAAATGTTCCATCAGTTCAAAGTTCATAAGGAACACCGACACTTCTTAAGATTCCTTTGGTGGGTGAGGTGAGGTGAAATGGGGTTTAACGTCGCGTCCAAGATTATTGCACTTATATAGCGACGTGCATGCACGTGCGTGTGTGTGTGGCTGCTTGTACTAGTCCGGACTGATGCCGATTTATAGTGCTAGCCCACTGAGATACCATGCCGCAGTTTAACATGAATAACCCATTCAGACACAGTATACGGACTCCGAGCCGACCAGTCCTTGTTTTAGCCCCTTAATGTCGAGCGCCAGACAGGGTAACAACAAGTACCATCTTTTAACGTCTTTTGGTATGATGCGGCCGGGTATCGAACCCCGGACCTTCCGCTCTCCGGGCGGACTCCTTTGGTGGGAGAATGGCCAAAGTGAAAGTGAGCCTAAAGAGTACAGAATGAATGTACATTTGTTTGGAGCTACATCTTCTCCAGGATGTGCAAATCATGGACTCAAACAAACAGCGAATGACTATGAGAAGGAGTTTGGATCAAAGGCAGCAAACTTTGTGAGTCACAACTTTTATGTTGATGATGGATTGGAATCTGTTCCCACAGCTGACAAAGCCATTAGCTTGATCAGTGACATCAAAGGTATTTGTGCCAAGGGTGGACTGCGACTTCACAAGTTTGTGTCAAACTCCAGAGATGTAATCTCAGCACTTCCTGTGAGTGACCGTGCTAAGGAAATCCAGAAGTTTGATTTGTATGATGAACTGCCAGAGGAAGAGCATTTGACTCTTCAAATGGCATAAATCCAATTGTACAAAAGCTTCCAGCTTGATGTGGGAGGAAAGCCCAAAGTGATGCAGGTCTTAGACGTTTATCACTTTGGTGAAACCCATGAGCACAGGATTGGTGCTGACAAACCTAAAAACCTTGAAACACATCAGGGTGAACCAGGATTTGAACCCACGATCATAGATTTCTGGCATGCCCAAGGAACGCAACTCTGCACAAGTTAACTCTCTTGCCTCGGGAAGATGGTATGTATTTGGCACAAACTGTTTTGCTCATAACCAAAGTATAAAGAAACTGGATGATCGCAGTGAGTGAGTGAGTTGGGTTTAACGCCGCTTTTAACAGTATTCCAGTTATATCACGTCATGTGACCTTAATGTGGGAGGAAAGCCTGAAGTGATGCAGGTCTCAGACGTTTACCACTTCGGTGAAACCCACGATCACGGGTATGGTGCTGACAAACCTAGAAACATAATCGGGGCAAACCGGGATTCGAACCCACAATCATAAGCTTCTGGCGTGCCCAAGGGACGCAACTCTGCACAGTGAAACGCGGCGCCTTAGACGACTGGGCCACTCAGGCCCCCTGGAGGATCGTGGTGAGAAAGGTGTTTTGTCGGCTATGACAAAGAAGCCGGCAAAGAGAAGATTATTGATACTACCAAGCAGTAGTTCAACTTGGTAGTATCAATTATATTCTCTTTGGATGGGAGAAGACAATCCCCCAAGCCCCTCCTCAAATGCACTCTAAGAGGAGGGTTGTACTACAAATTCTGGACAGTCAATAACAAAGGTGGATTGAACCTTCCAGAATATATTGAAAACAAGAGGAGATTAGGTGTAGGACCACAGCAGTTTACCACCAAAGACAAATAACACCTGACTGTTTCTGAACACTTCTTGGGGCGGTCGGGTAGCCTAGAGGTTAAAGCGTTCGCTCGTCACGCGGAAGACCAGGGTTCGATTCCCGACATGGGTACAATGTGTGAAGCCCATTCCTGGTGTCCCTGCCGTGATATTGCTGGAATATTGCTAAAAGCGGCGTAGTGAGTGAGTGAGTGAGTTGGGTTTAACGCCGCTTTTAGCAGTATTCCAGTTATATCACGGCGTGTCAGCTTAATGTGGGAGGAAAGCCCGAAGTGATGCAGGTCTTAGATGTTACCACTTCGTTGAAACCCACGAGCACGGGTATGGTGCTGACAAACCTAGAAACATAATCGGGGTGTAACACTTCTTAGAACGACAGATCCAAACAAACAGAATCAGTATATGGGTCACAAGTGGTGGTGATTTCTGACTTGGTATTTCAGACTGCACATTTTTATATGTACAGTAAACTATGGTTACAACAAACTAAAAGGGACCCCTAAATCTAGTTCGTAATCGCCGTAGTTCGTTATAAGCATATGTACAGCATATATACAACAAATGGTCGGGACTAAAAAAAGGGTTGTTATATCGGTCAGTTCGTTATAAGTGTGTTTGTTATGAACGTAGTTTACTGTATTCACGAATATATATAACTATTACCATTTCTTTTTTTTAATAAACTGGTAGCATTTTATACATTGAAAAACTAACTTAAGATCAGCTGTGAATGTTAAATTGTAACAGGTTGATATAGAGCTCCTTCTTATCAAACCAGATGTCTTTGTGGCAAGTGTAATTGCCTCATGATGATAATTGTGTCACCCCTAATATCTCCAGCACTGGACACTCAGACTTATATTTGTAGCCACCTAGCCTTGAACCAAAGTGAAATATTGCAGAAAAAAAGAAGAGAAAATTGTGACTGGACTTCTTGTGAATGACGTATAACTAAATTATTTCAGAGATGAGGTCATTGAATGTGTCAGCCATGAAGGGAAACTGCATTGAACGTGATTTTTAAAGAATTAAAACCAGGTAATTTTCACACATATTTTGATTTGTTCAAAGATGGGATTGATAAAAATTGAGGGGAATGGTAAATTAGAGTTGCCAGTCAACCGGGACTCGCAGTTTCAAAAGCCAGCAGGAACACTGTGCGTAGCAATGACATTGTCATCCTATAAACAGGTACCTCAGCACTTGCCACACAGATGTGGGGAATAAGCAGGCATGGAGAGACAAACAGAACCCGTGTTGAAGGATGCGCAACCACCATCAACAAACATCTCATCATCCTCATCATCCTGAGTTTTCAAATCACGACAAGTTCCCGAGTTCATCATCTGTGATGATCTCTGCAGGATCTGTAGCTTCGTTTGTTGTTCAATGCCACACCCAGCAACATTCCAGCTATATGATGGAGGTCTGGACCGGATACTCTAGTGATTGACTTCATGAGCGTCAATCTACGCAATTGGGACACAATGACATGCATCAACCAAGTCAGCGAGTCTGACATGACAAACTGAACATCTTACTCGCCATTTTATGACAAGGATAGGTTGCTGAAGACAAATTCTAACCCGTTTCTTCATTGGGCATTTGCCACAGTTGTTCTGTTGTTTTCATGACCGGCAATTGTTCAGATAGTTCATGAATCCATTTCAGCGTCGGCCCCAGTTGCTGGTCTGTTATCAACGGCTACACAGTTGCGGGTCTGTTATCAACAGCTACTCAGTTGCTGGTCTGTTATCAACAGCTTCACAGTTGCTGGTCTGTTATCAACAGCTACACAGTTGCGGGTCTGTTATCAACAGCTACACAGTTGCTGGTCTGTTATCAACAGCTACATAGTTGCTGGTCTGTTATCAACAGATACACAGTTGCTGGTCTGTTGTTGTCAGCTACACAGTTGCTGGTCTGTTATCAACAGCTACACAGTTGCTGATCTGTTGTTGTCAGCTACACAGTTGCGAGTCTGTTATCAACAGCTACACAGTTGCTGGTCTGTTATCAACAGCTACACAGTTGCTGGTCTGTTATCAACAGCTACACAGTTGCTGGTCTGTTATCAACAGCTACACAGTTGCTGGTCTGTTATCAACAGATACACAGTTGCTGGTCTGTTATCAAGAGCTACACAGTTGCGGGTCTGTAATCAAGAGCTACACAGTTTCTGGTCTGTTATAAACAGCTACTCAGGTGCTGGTCTGTTATCAACAGCTACACAGTTGCTCATCTGTTATCAACGGCTTCACAGTTGCTGGTCTGTTATCAACAGCTACTCAGTTGCTGGTCTGTTATCAACGGCTACACAGCTGCTGGTCTCTTATCAAGAGCTAAAACAGTTGCTGGTCTGTTGTCAACAGCTACACAGTTGCTGGTCTGTTATCAACAGCTACACAGTTGCTGGTCTGTTTACACAGTTGCTGGTCTGTTGTCATGAGCTACGCAGTTGCTGGTCTGTTGTCATGAGCTACACTGTTGCTGACTTCCCAAGATGATATCAACAGCATGGGGGAAGTCGGATGCTACGTGACTCGGTGGTGGGGAGATCTTCCCTTCGTCTCCATCCTGGTACTTTCCTGCAATGATTAGTTACCTTGATAATGAATTTGGTTCATACTGCAAGAAATTGTAAATTTTCAAATAAATTGTATATTTATATACTTATCCTATCTCACACTATGCACTTCTTCTTATTCTTCGATCTTGGTATGGAAACGCCCTAGAACAAAGTTTCCAGCTTCAAAAACACCACTCACCCAAACACATCCCATACATCACCAAATCACCACTGTGATCACCGGTCACGCACCACTTAAATCCCGTGCGACACGACCCCTGCGACCTGATCACCTGACATATCCAGAGCTAGAGCGTACAGGCTGGTGTAACTGTGATGCGGGATGGTTGGGTGGGCATTTAGCATGTGAGATAGGATAAGTATATAAATATACAATTCATTAGAAAATTTACAAATTTTTAAACTTATCCTATCTCACAGTATGCATTTATCCCACAGTTGGATGGTGGGGCGCAGACACCCTAGCCTGTAAGGACTTCAACCGTGAGACGTACACGAGGAAGCTGGAACTAATCAGGAAAATTCAAAGGATTTTACAAGGATTAGTGATAAACTCGTGTAAGGGTTGCTTCAAAAACCCTCTTTATGCTACCAAGAGATATACATCATGACATCGGGGAATCATGTGTTCCATGGTTTTACACAGGATGCCGTTCCAAGAACGACCGCCTAACCGTGAGCCAGGCGACACCTACTCGGTCACGACTTAAACCTCATGTAATTGTACTTGTACTTAAACCTTTTGTACAAACACCCTGTCCCCGGCCAGCAGGTTCTACAAGACAGACCTCACACATGCGCTCCCAAGGACATAAGGCGGACCCCAAGCAATACAATTGAGAATGAGGGTGCTCGATGTCAGGTGATCAGGTCGCAGGGGTCGTGTCGCACGGGATTTAAGTGGTGGGTGACCCATGATCACAGTGGTGATTTGGTGATGTGTGGGATGTGTGGGATGTGTTTGGGTGAGTGGGGTTTTTTTAAGCTTGAAACTTTGTTCTGGGGCGTTTCCACACCAAGATCGAGGAATAAGAAGAAATGTAATATTCCAGCTACATGATTGCAGTCTGTAAATTTTTTAGTCTGGACCAGACAATCCAATGATTGACATCATGAGCATCAATCTATGCCACTGGGATACGATGACATTCATTAACCAAGTCAACGAGAAATACCACCCGATGCCAACAGATGCCTCTTATGAAAAGCATGGTTGCTGAAAGCCAATTCTAACTTGGATCTTCACAGAGGCAGTCATATGAATTAGGATAACTATTAGGATAATTTTCATCAGCAAACCAAAAATTATGATCAAATTATATAGAAAATATCAGACTGCATGCCGCTAAACGTGAAGTGCCAAAAGTCCACAATGGCCGTAACTGGTATTTGTGTACCGATAAATTTTGCCGATACTTTCTTAACTCACGATGTTTTCTTTTAGAGGTAAATAAACTACTGAAAGTTTTGATAGTTTGCAAGTTGAGCATTTATTCATACCACACGTAAATGCTACGCAAAGCCTACTCGTTAAACAGTTATTGCGATTTCATTTAAGGGTGTCCTTCGACTTTGCACCCGTCGACTGGGTTGGTTGGTTGGTTTTTTGTTTAACGCCGCACTCAGCAATATTACAGCTATATGACGGGGGTCTGTAAATAATCGAGTCTGGACCAGACAATCCAGTGATTGATATCATGAGCATCGATCCACGCAATTGGGATCAATGACATGTATCAACCAAGTCAGCGAGCCTGACCACCCAATCCTGTTAGTCGCCTTTTACGACAAGCATAGTCGCCTTTTACGGCAAGCATGGGTTGCTGAAGACCTATTCTACCCCGGAATCTTCACGGGTTCCATCGACTGGGTTGGACATTAGTGTGGAGAGCATAAAGAGATTTGAGTATCTTCACGTGACAAGACACACACCCACCTGTTTTCACGAGTATTCCGATCATGCCAGCAGTCTGCGACCCGCCCACGTCATCCCGCACATCCTTTACACAGAAACAAACATCTCTGACAAATATGACACTTTAGCAATGTTTAGAAATAATCGTGGCTAAGTGAGTTGGATCCATTGCCTTGAACAATCTTTCACACAGTGTGTCATCTTGCAGTCCAGAGTGGCAGATCACAGATATTTACTACCTTGGGAAACCCATGAGTGAGTAATTCTGAGGTTTGGACCCAGAATCATTTGATCCTGATGTGCCTAAGGATGCATCTCACATAACTCATCGTAACTATTTCAACTAGACAGCTCTCAGTACAATAACTGCAACCAGGTAACTCATCGTAACTATTTAAACTAGACAGCTCTTGGTACAATAAGTGCAGCCAGGAAACTCATCGTAACTATTTCAACTAGACAGCCATCAGTACAATAACTGCAACCAGGTAACTCATCGTAACTATTTAAACTAGACAGCCATCAGTACAATAACTGCAACCAGGTAACTCATCGTAACTATTTAAACTAGACAGCCATCAGTACAATAACTGCAACCAGGTAACTCATCGTAACTATTTCAACTAGACAGCTCTCAGTACAATAACTGCAACCAGGTAACTCATCGTAACTATTTCAACTAGACAGCCATCAGTACAATAACTGCAACCAGGTAACTCATCGTAACTATTTAAACTAGACAGCCATCAGTACAATAACTGCAACCAGGTAACTCATCGTAACTATTTCAACTAGACAGCCATCAGTACAATAACTGCAACCAGGTAACTCATCGTAACTATTTAAACTAGACAGCCATCAGTACAATAACTGCAACCAGGTAACTCATCGTAACTATTTAAACTAGACAGCCATCAGTACAATAACTGCAACCAGGTAACTCATCGTAACTATTTAAACTAGACAGCCATCAGTACAATAACTGCAACCAGGTAACTCATCGTAACTATTTAAACTAGACAGCTCTCAGTACAATAACTGCAACCAGGTAACTCATCGTAACTATTTAAACTAGACAGCCATCAGTACAATAACTGCAACCAGGTAACTCATCGTAACTATTTAAACTAGACAGCCATCAGTACAATAACTGCAACCAGGTAACTCATCGTAACTATTTAAACTAGACAGCCATCAGTACAATAACTGCAACCAGGTAACTCATCGTAACTATTTCAACTAGACAGCCATCAGTACAATAACTGCAACCAGGTAACTCATCGTAACTATTTAAACTAGACAGCCATCAGTACAATAACTGCAACCAGGTAACTCATCGTAACTATTTCAACTAGACAGCCATCAGTACAATAACTGCAACCAGGTAACTCATCGTAACTATTTAAACTAGACAGCTCTTGGTACAATAACTGCAACCAGGTAACTCATCGTAACTATTTAAACTAGACAGCCATCAGTACAATAACTGCAACCAGGTAACTCATCGTAACTATTTAAACTAGACAGCCATCAGTACAATAACTGCAACCAGGTAACTCATCGTAACTATTTAAACTAGACAGCCATCAGTACAATAACTGCAACCAGGTAACTCATCGTAACTATTTAAACTAGACAGCCATCAGTACAATAACTGCAACCAGGTAACTCATCGTAACTATTTAAACTAGACAGCTCTTGGTACAATAACTGCAACCAGGTAACTCATCGTAACTATTTAAACTAGACAGCCATCAGTACAATAACTGCAACCAGGTAACTCATCGTAACTATTTCAACTAGACAGCCATCAGTACAATAACTGCAACCAGGTAACTCATCGTAACTATTTAAACTAGACAGCCATCAGTACAATAACTGCAACCAGGTAACTCATCGTAACTATTTAAACTAGACAGCCATCAGTACAATAACTGCAACCAGGTAACTCATCGTAACTATTTAAACTAGACAGCCATCAGTACAATAACTGCAACCAGGTAACTCATCGTAACTATTTAAACTAGACAGCCATCAGTACAATAACTGCAACCAGGTAACTCATCGTAACTATTTAAACTAGACAGCCATCAGTACAATAACTGCAACCAGGTAACTCATCGTAACTATTTAAACTAGACAGCCATCAGTACAATAACTGCAACCAGGTAACTCATCGTAACTATTTAAACTAGACAGCTCTTGGTACAATAACTGCAACCAGGTAACTCATCGTAACTATTTAAACTAGACAGCCATCAGTACAATAACTGCAACCAGGTAACTCATCGTAACTATTTAAACTAGACAGCCATCAGTACAATAACTGCAACCAGGTAACTCATCGTAACTATTTAAACTAGACAGCCATCAGTACAATAACTGCAACCAGGTAACTCATCGTAACTATTTCAACTAGACAGCCATCAGTACAATAACTGCAACCAGGTAACTCATCGTAACTATTTCAACTAGACAGCTCTTGGTACAATAAGTGCAGCCAGGAAACTCATCGTAACTATTTAAACTAGACAGCCATCAGTACAATAACTGCAACCAGGTAACTCATCGTAACTATTTAAACTAGACAGCCATCAGTACAATAACTGCAACCAGGTAACTCATCGTAACTATTTAAACTAGACAGCCATCAGTACAATAACTGCAACCAGGTAACTCATCGTAACTATTTAAACTAGACAGCCATCAGTACAATAACTGCAACCAGGTAACTCATCGTAACTATTTAAACTAGACAGCCATCAGTACAATAACTGCAGCCTGGTAACTCATTGTAACTACTTGAACAACAGTCCGCTACTATGATTAGTAGAGGTTACAGTCAACTTATTTAGCCTGGAATCTCCGCTCCATACTCTCTAAACATTTTAGTCTGTTAATTGATAATACATCACAATATATGTACGACGTCCATCTTTCACTCACTCACTCACTCACTCACTCACTCTTGGTATACTTACATCACCAATCATGACACACTGGCCAGGCTGACAGTCCATGTCTCTGATGGCTGACAGGAAGAAGCGTGTCTCTGGCTTGCCCACAACCTCTGCTGTTGTCCCTGTTGCATATTCCAGGCCGGCTACAAACGGACCTGTCGGAGAAACCATCAAAGTTGGACAACTTGTCAGAGTCAGCCCAGCTCAACAGGTGCTGCTACAGATAACCAACTGATTTCTATTCAGTGGCCAAAATGAATTGTAAGGAGGTGAGGTGAGGTGAAATGGGGTTAAACGTCGCGTCCAAGATTATTGCACTTATATAGCGTCGTGCATGCACGTGTGTGTGTTTGTGTGGCTGCTTGTACCAGTCCGGACTGATGCCGACTTATAGTGCTAGCTCACTGAGATACCATGCCGCAGTTTAACATGAATACCCCACTCAGACACAGTATACTGACTCCGAGCCGACCAGTCCTTGTTTTAGCCCCTTAATGCCGAGAGCCAGACACAAATACAACAAGTACCATCTTTTAACGTCTTTTGGTATGACGCGGCCAGGAATCGAACCCTGGACCTTCTGCTCTCCGGGCAGACGCTCTACCACTAGACCACGGAGGCGGTCTGAATTGTAAGGGAAAATAAATGTTAAAGAACTGAACAGATGTGGCTCTGAATGCATTCTCGAATAATCAGTGTAATATATCTCGTTTCTATTAAACATATTTGAGGGATAAACTGTTTGATTGGCATTCTAGAAGTTGGTGTTCCGGGGTAGAATAGGTCTTCAGCAACCCATACTTGCCGTAAAAGGCGACTATGCTCGTTGTAAAAGGCGACTAACGGGATCGGGTGGTCAGGCTCGCTGACTTGGTTGATACATGTCATCTATTCCAATTGCGTGGATCGATGCTCATGATGTCAATCACTTGATTGTCTGGTCCAGATTCGATTATTTTACAGATCGCTGTCATATAGCTGGAATATTGCTGAGTGCGACGTTAAACAACAAACAAAAAACAAACTAGAAGTTGGTGAGTAAGAAAATATACAACTTTATAGATAACAACTTTATTGCATATAGTGACGTTTCGTAGATTCTTATACTGTTATAACCTCTCATCACTTGGTTGTTGTCACTCCAGCTTGATAATGCACTAAACCAGAAGCTGTTATCCAAGTTGCAAGTTGTAAGTTTTCTTATCGAGGGATTGCTTTTTACCCTGCCACGATTTTGAATGTAGCTATACACTGAACTCACACTGGCAGGAGGCATATTTGATTGGTGGTGGATTTCAAGCACATGAGCAAGACAAATTCTGTGACAAACTGGTGACTAGAAAACCATAATTTGAAAAGGGTGCAAGGTATGTGTTGTCAAACAATGGAGAAATGATGCACTCAAGCTGATGGAGCTATGTATGCAGTCCAGATGTGACCATGTATGAAGGCAGACATGAGTGAGTTTCTAAGCTGTTTTGAACCATCTTCCCGAGGCAAGAGAGTTAACTTACTTTAAAAGTCAAGTTTCCACCCTTCCTGAACTAGGCTGGAATTACTGGGCTCGATCATAGCGCCACCAGTGGCTACTGCGAGTTATGTCCTTTCTATGCCTCTCCTACTGACCAATCAGATTCAACATCTCGTATCACTTGCATTTGCTTCAAACAAAACGGTGGCGCCCAGTCAAGACGATCTGATCGATAATCAAGATCTATATTGTGATAAATCGAGTCTTACATCGCGAAGGGCTTCAAATCACGTGAGCACCTTGATTAAAAACATGAAAAGATTTAGAAAATATCTGTTTACAACAAGTTAGCGATGCACATGCTTTGCAAATCCTGCAATCGACCGAAATCTGCATGACAGTTTACGAACCGGATTTCGATTTCGGTGCGCGATTTTGATTGGACTATGCATAGACTCGTTAGTCCAGACAAAATGTAACTCCATAATACCAGCCTAGTTCGGCAAGGGTGGAAACTGGAATTTTATAGTCAGATAACTCCCTTGCCTCGGGAAGGTGGCTTTGAACATGGTGCACATTATTTCTGTCATATTTGACAGCTTAATGGGGGAAGAATGTCAAAGTGCCATTGGTCTTAAAAGCTTTTTCCGTTTTTGCTGATCTGTTTTCACAAGTTAGGATTAATGTACAAAGGTAAAGCTGGTGAAGCTTGTGGGATTAACAGGAGAGAAGCCAATTAAGTGCATAATCTGAGCGGGTGAGAGAGTTTTGGGCATAGTGCTGCTTTTAACAGTACCGGTATTCCAGTTACCGTATTCGACGCAATAAGCACCCCGCTCTAATAAGCACCCATGGCGATATTTGCTTATATATTGGCTAGTGAACAATCCCAATTAGCACCCCTTCCGATTGATCAATGTACACAAGACTTATTTATTCTTGTATAATATGTATGTTATATGCACCCTCAATCATGGGAAATTAAATTCTGGAAAAATATATCTGGCATTTCAGGCTGTCAGCATAAACCACGAAATGTAAGATCTTTCAACTGTTTTTCACCAAAATAATATTCTAATAAGAGCCTCCCATTTCTAATTTTGAGAGTGCCCTGGGCGCTTGTTATGTCGAATACGGTATATCACGACGTGTCAGCTTTATGTGGGAGGAATGCCATAGCTAAACTTCTTTATAAGCACCCCTCCTAAGACTGAAAATGTACATGACAGTCCATAGTTTCTTGTGTATATATTGCTGATTAATACAGGAAACAGCAGTGAAGAAGGGCAATATCATTGCCTGGTAACTATTACCAGAAACCTGTAGTTACTAAGTTGGTTCACTGCGGCTCGATACCCGTGATGGTTCCGGGGTAGAATAGGTCTTCAGCAACCCATGCTTGCCGTAAAAGGCGACACTGCTTGTCGTAAAATGCGACTATCGGGATCGGGTGGTCAAGCTCGCTGACTTGGTTGATGCATGTCATTGATCCCAATTGCGTGGATCGATGCTCATGATGTCAATCACTGGATTGTCTGGTCCAGACTCGATTATTTACAGACCGCCGTCATATAGCTGGAATATTGCTGAGTGCGGCGTTAAACAACAAACAAACCAACCCCTGCGGCCCGATCTCTGACAACAAATTAAACTTGCTGTGAATGGTTTTAATAAACCCCCAACTGTCTAAGGGCCGGACTGTTATTTAGACTTAATACGGTACATTGTAGATTATCATTGTTGACCTACCTGGGCCCAGCGCCAGCCCATCTTTCCTCCTGTAGTACCTTCCTTTGTGAACTGCAATCAGTGGGCAGCCATTTAACAACAACCTGAAAAATAATGAAATAGTCATAAGCAAGTATACCTTCCGATCTCACTAAAATCAGATACTGTCACATTTATTCTGATGTGATATCTCTTGACGACCCCTCCATAGACGCGTGAGCGAACATCAACAACCCAAACCGTGTGTAATTTTTAGCCAATCGGATGTCATTGGTACCACATACAATAACTTCAAACAGTTGTGTCGAAGTTGAAAGGACCGATGTAAATATTTCCTAGTTAGCTGAGGTTCGACACAACTGAAAACTGATGAATAAAGACAGAATATGCCACAACAGTGTTTGATTGTAGTGAGTGAGTGAGTGAGTATGGTTTTACGACGCTTTTCGCAAAATTCCAGCAATATCTCGGCGGGGGACACCAGAAATGGGCTTCACACATTGTACCCATGTCGGGAATCAAACTCGGGTCTTCGGTGTGACGAGCGAACGCTTTAACCACTAGGCTACCCGACCGCCCCGTGTTTGATTGTAATTTCCGCACTCCATGACCTTCTACAGCTGGCATGTGTAGATTTGTTTCAGTTAGGGAACTAATTTTAACTAGCGGCCTCAGAGCATACACAATCTTACGTCACGTGTGGTAGAGTAAGGTATTCTATTTCTGACATTTCCCTGTGACCCAAATTATTTTAGCTTCGAACCCCAATTTTTTAAACCGGCAATCTCATTAAAATAAGACCTCAGTTCTCGCTACTGCTAAACAAAGATCTGAGGACATCCCATTAAGGGTCATGTCAGAACGACCTATCATCCAACCAATCAGAGCATCCCTTACCAGATTATGAAAGTGACAGTCGGAATGTGATTTCTAATCATGCAACCTCGAAAACTTTAACTCTGAACGATAGTTACGGGTTTAACGACTGAATCCATACAATCTAGACCATCTATTAGTCATTCCAGAATGTTCTTTGTTCAGGTTTCAAATTTTTTATCGAGAATTTGTCAAAATATGTTTCGAAGCGTAGTCGCCAAATTGAAATTAGTGCCGTAAAGCACGAGAAAGCTTCCTTCTGAATGGTCATTCCATTGGTTGGTCAAAGTTTGCGCAAGGTTGGTCTGACGTGACCCCTAATGGGATGTTTGTTTAGCGGTAGCGAGAACTAAGATCTGATTTTAATCACATTGTCAAACCAGGGACCCCTTTGAGTGCTCTGGGACCCAGAATAAACAACCCTTGTAAATTCCTACAGGAACAGGTGCTACCACGTGACACAGTTTCAACCTGAACCCTGATGATTCACCTCCATTGTTTGTGTTTTTGTTTAACGCTGCACTCAACAATATCCAAGCTATATGACGGCGGTCTGTAAATAATTGAGTCTGGACCAGACAATCCAGTGATTGACTCTATGAGCATCAATCCACACAAATGGGATATAATGACATGTATCAACCAAGTCAGCGAGCCTGACCACCCAATCCCGTTAGTCGCCTCTTACGACAAGCATGGTCGACCTTTCACGGCAAGCATGGGTTGCTGAAGACCTATTCTACCCCGGGTCTTCACGGGTCAATGACCTGGAAGGTGATCACTGACTACCTGAAGGCTGAGTTGAGAACATCGTAGTGAAACTTGTCCGGAGCCAGGCCAACAACGACCGCATTCGGATCTTCAGTATCTATGTCTGAAACAAAAAACGTCAGCCATTAGATTCGTACATGTTACAGAATCAACCAGTGTACTTTCATGAAAACGAAAATAAATAACTTAAACAAATCAATAACTTAAAATGTGTGTGTGTCTTCCTGTGGCCAATCTCACTGCCCCCCCCCCCCCCATCCCCATTATAAATGACCAGTCCTCTTATATGTGTGTGTGCACACATATTTATTAGTCGGAGACTTATGCTGACTTCATAGTGATAGCCCACAGAGATACCATCCCACTTTTAACATGGTTACCCCACTCAAGACACTATATACTGACCACAAGCTGACCTGACCTTGTTTCATCCCCTTATTGCTGAGTGAGTGAGTGAGTTGTGTTTATCGCTGCTTTTAACAGTATTCCAGTCATATTGCGGCGTGTCAGCTTTATGTGGGAGGAAAGCCCGAAGTGATGCAGGTCTCAGACGTTTACCATTTCGGCGAAACCCACGAGCACGGGTATGGTGCTGACAAACCTAGAAACATAATCGGGGTGAACCGGGATTCGAACCCACAATCTTAGCTTTCTGGCATGCCCAAGGGATGCAACTCTGCACAGCGAATCGCGGCACCTTAGACGACTGGGCCACCCGTGCCTCTTATTGCTGAGCAGGGTAATAATGGAATAGAAGAACGTCCTATCAACAAATGATTAAATCATGACAATGTCCTCTCTTCTCCAGCAAAATCCCTGTCCTCACATACCTAAATCACAAAATGTTTCCCCTACATTTGATAAGGTTTGCTCTGTCAAACTTAAAGGAATCTCTTCAAAACAGTTTTTCAAACTTCAATGTTCATAGAAAACAAAGCAAATCTGACTTAATAACACAAATTTGAGCAAAGAGGAAATCTTCAAACTGCCAAGAGTGATCGTTCACTTAGCAGCTCCATATTCACCATCGAAGTCCTCCATCGCCCGGTCGTCCAACAGCAGCATGGGCCGCAGTTTCTTCTCCCTCACCGCATCATGGGCTGCAGTCAACGATGTGAACACATCATCCAGTGCCACGTCAAATCCGATCTGGTTCAGGCGCTGGAGGAGAACACGCTTGCTCTCCTTGGTGGTGTTGGTCACAAAGCGGACTTTCAAATCACTCTCCCTCAACCTGCAGGGAAAATATCACATATTAAACATTCTGTGTCCGAGTCAGGTTTAACACTGCCTGGAGTGAGTGAGTGTGTTGGGTTAAATGCCGCTTTTAACATTATTCCAGTTATATCACGGCGTGTCAGCTTAATATGGGAAGAAAGCCCGAAGAGATGCAGGTCTCAGACGTTTACCACTTTGGTGAAACCCACGAGCACGGGTATGGTGCTGACAAACCTAGAAACATAATCGGGGCGAACCGGGATTCAAACCCACAATCATAGGTTTCTGGCCTGCCCAAGGGACGCAACTCTGCACAGCGAATTGCGGCGCCTTATACGACTGGGCCACCCGTGCCCCCAACACTGCCTGGAACATTCCTGGTACAATTAGTACAAAGCTGGTCTTTGATACTGGTCATGTTGACAAAATAACATAGATGCTGAAATCGTTTTGAACATGTGGAAAACAGTCGCAAGAAAAATAGTATGATTTTGAAAGTACACATCTTCTTTGAAAATTTCATTACCTTTAAATCTACTCTCTCTGCAACCAGCTGGTATGATCTTGAGGACTGTGTAAGGATTAGTTTTAATACACAGGAACTCATATTCATATCATCAAAACTCACACCCCTCTATATGTATAGTATGTGAGTGAGTGAGTATGGTTTTATGCCGCTTTTAGCAATATTCCAGCAATATCACGGCGGGGACACCAGAAATGGGCTCCACACATTGTACCCATGTCGGGAATCGAACCCGGGTCTTCGGCGTGACGAGCAAACGCTTAAACCATCAGGCTACCTGACCGCCCCTTCTATAGTATATGTACGATGATGTGCCTGTGACTTCATTTCGACTATACAATGATATATCTTGTTCAAATTATTTGTATTTCATTTACTGAGTTGGAGACTCGAAAATAGGTAACACATTAAAAAAAACTTCTTTTTCCACAATTATTTAACATTTTAGAAAAGGGCCATATGCCATAAGGCTGGGGCAGGCAACTCGGGTCGGGTGGGTACTGAGTAGGACCCAGGTACCCACAGGACTACCCGGACCAGTGGTTAGTCACATGATATATTATTGACAAAAAGTATCTAAAAGTCAGTGGTTACACTATAAGTCACTAATGTTCCTTTTTCTTTCTGACAATGGACCAATTCCTTCTGACTTTTATATGTTTGAATAAAGATAAAACTTCATGCAGTAAACTTCAGTGTATGCATGACCAGATCGTTTTACAAGTGAATCTAAATACATTTTGACAGGGCTAAGGACAAACTTTTCCAAATCGGACAGTTTGTACCTATCTCTAAATACCTACAGGGTAGGGTCGGGTAATAGGGTGGTGGGTACCCGGGTAGTAAATTTGGACTCGTCCAAGTCCTAATACGCCAAACATTCGTGTATATGCACTAGGGCTGTTACGATTCACTCACGTATTCGGTGAATCGAACCATAACAATTCATGAATTAAAAACGTTATTCGTGGCCACTAGAATCGAATATTTATGAATATGCAAGCATGTGCATTTACATAAAAATACCCATAAGAACATATTATATGCATAGATTTCTTCAAAAGACAACACTCTTATACTATTTAATTTGACAATATTGTGGTCACTGGTCATTGTCGCATTTAAGCAGATCGTAGGACCTGGATAAGTGCAGTATATAAATGTATAAATGTATAAATGTATAATATATTTAAGCATTGACTGTGTATTTTTTTCGGTTCATTGAGGTATGAATCAAAAAACCGATGTGCAAACTGTATGAATCCGCGTAGCGGATTCTTACAAAAGTTTGCACATTGGTTTTTCGATTCATACCTCAATGAACCGAAAAAAATATACAGTCAATGCTTATAATTAAATTCGACACCGTTAAAAATGTTTTAGCTACAATAGTTTAACCCAAAACAGTTGCATATATCAAAACAGACAAAAATGACGATATTGATAAACATTCCAGGTGTAGGAATATATACAGTGGCGTGACATGAATCAGGTGATCGTTTAATTTATGCACATAACTTGACACGCCTACACATTCAGTAGCCAATCAACGGAGAGTGGGATTAAAACAATGTTCATTAGACCTGTCAATTAAGGCAAGAGGCGAAAAGAACTGCAACAGTCAGACTGTAACGAAACGGAAAAAATATGTCGACCGAGAGAAGGCGGCTGTTTCAAATAACATGGTCATTTACTGCTGATTCAAACATTACTTCCCTGATTACGGTAAAACACAGTTGGAGAAATGCTAGTTAGAAATGAAACCCGAAGACATGAAAGTTGAACCGTGACGAGCGGGAAAAAAATAGGCGAGAGAGCCTGCACGTTTGCTGTTTCATTCGTTTTCGGCCTTCGGTTTCAAAGGGTTGTTTGGAAAATGAATATGCATGAAAGTCGCTAAATGTCCTGTGCATGACGATACACGTGAGCAGAAAGGGAATTCCCTCGACTGTAATATTGGGATTCCCCGACATTCCGCGGTAATAAAAGTAGTGCGCCGCGGTGGGCGTGGCTTAATTTTTTACATTCATTGGGAAATGAATGCAATAACACGTGATCAATTCAGCTAATCAGAATGCAGGAATTTGCATGAACACAACGAAAATTTAATTATTAATAATTAACAAACCATGTCAAATAATTTGTGTTGTATTTGTTCCACTGAATATAACAAATAAAACATCAGCTGCTGACTTGTTATTGTATTCGTGAATTAATATTCATATTCGTTACCCTATATTCGTGATACGAATCGTATTCGCCTCATAGTGTATTCGTTGCAGCCCTAATATGCGCACGTGTGGACAGCTGTAGGCAAACGACGTGACTTACGGCTCCGGCGGCGGGGCTTGCACGTGGGCTGCTATGGGAACGTAACACCCCCACCACCCCCCGTTATTTCTACAACCGTGGATATTTTGAAAGACATCTCACCGACCTTTTCAAGGCTTCCACAGACCCTGGCACCTCCTCATCCTCTATGTGCAGCGTCCCACTCAGATCTATGAGCACACACTTCGCTCCTCTTGTTGACATTCTGTCCGGCTTTTAGCTTCCGTGAGTCCAATATCCACGCAGCGATACCACATTGGGTACACGCCAAGGAAGGTGCCATGCGCTGGGGTGGAGCTTACATTCGTAGCAAACTTGTGTAAACTGGTTCCACTGTTGGTACGCGCTGCAAGTTTACGTAGACAGTAGCCCAGTCAACAACTTTTGTCATTCTGAGACAAACCACATGGAACCCATATTTCCTGAATGAGGTTTGTTATGAATGAGTGACGGGCCATTTTAACGATAAATACAGTTGAATAAATATGACTTAAGAAATACTTTCCTAAAATATTACGATGATGTACATCTGTATTGAGATTAGAAAAACAATTTCAGCTTCAGCTACAAAACCAGATATTTTCTGTTGTGGCAGGCAATTTTGTTTTTCAACAGTCTGAAGTACGATTATTTTTATCAAGAATTTTCGGGGATAATAAAATCCAAGTGGTACCTCCAAATGTTGAGTCCAAAGTTAATATGTTTTAGTACTGAATCATTTGCGAACCCTATCTCTTTCTAAAATTATAAATAAAATTCCGTATAGGTTATTTTGGCATATACGGTAACCAAAACTCTTGAAAATATGAAAAATGAAATCTGTGAGAAAACTACCGCAATTAGTTTCATGTCAACGTTAGACATCAGAGTGTACATAACAGAGGAAATAAACACGTGCACACAACTCATCGATACAAAGTATTTCGTGAGCAAAGCCATAATCTTTCACATCAAGGCATCAACATGGACAGGGCTACAGATGCTACCACCTCCAAACGGTTTGACATCTTGAACGCAACAACGTGACGTTTCTCGTCGGCGGTAGTCACACATTCTCCCATCTGCTCGGAAAAGCTGGAATCTCTCTCCTGTGAACGTGACTCTTTGCCAGTTTCTGTTCTACCAACGTTACATTGTGTTCGAACCCATCGATGTCTGTGTTCCGTTGTCTGCGTTACATCTCGTAGTGGTCTGCAAGCTCTCATATTGTACCGACGAAGTCTTCTGGACACTGTCCAGCGACTGACAGGATTGCTGTCGCAGGTGAAGGCATCTCCTTGATAATAGTGAGTTAGTGAGTGAGTGAGAGAGTGAATATGGTATTACGCCGCTTTTAGCATTATCCCAGCAATATCAAGGCGGGGGACACCAGAAAGGGTCTTCACACATTGTGAGGAATCGAACCCGGGCCTTCGGCGTGACGAGCGAACGCATTAACCACTAGACTCCCCACTGCCCTCTCCGTCATAATACGATTCCTCTCTCTTCCGCCCAGTCTGCCTGAAACAGGCCATACACCTGTCATTCGGCTGCAGCAAAATCTCTTTGCGACGTGGTCATGCGTTTCTCTTCGATGTTTCATGCCAACAGCCTTCTCTGTCTGCGTTAATCTTACCATGTTATTTGTCAGTGTCCGGCGGTTTGGCTGTGAATGAACTTACTTACTTACTTATATTGGAGATTTAATGTGCACTTTCCGACTGCAAGCGTATGTCGCACACGGGACCGGCCAGGCCGTTTAATGTGTTTCCGAAAAGGGGAAAAGTGAGTTTGTGCAACCCAGGAGGGGGGTTTAAGGGTTGCTTATATAGTAATTTTGAAATTTTGAGATTTGGAAAGAATGCCAAGAGTGGGTGGAGGACGAACTAAGGGAGCTGTGTGTGTTGGGTGGTTGTTAGATAAGGTAGTTTTGGTTTTAATATTTTATTTGGGGTTTAAATGCGACCAATTAGTCCTGTTTTAATTAGGTACGAGTATATGCCTAAGGCTTTGAATTTTTCTAATTTATTTTGTGGATTTAGGATTGATTCTGGTGTAAGTGCGGTTTTAAGATTTAGGGTGGTCTGTAGTGTTGTTCGGTGTGTTTGGTAGTGTGTGCAGTGAATGAGTACGTGTTCTGGTGTTTCTTATTGTTTGCAATGTGGGCAGTTTCCTGTTGTGTGTAGATTAACTATTTTACGGTGATTATTTAGTTTGGTGTGGCCTGTTTGTAGTTTAGTAATTATTCTGTCGATTTTTTTTGGATGGGTGTAGTATTTTTGGTTTAGTTAGGTTTTTTTTAGTACTTTCCTGATTTGGCTATTTGAGTTTTGGTATATATTTTGCCATTTTTTGTTGATTTTCTGTTATTGACACTTTTGATTTCTGATTTTAAGCTGGTAAAGTTTAAGCTTATTTCTGGGAGTTTAAGGGATAATTTTGCTGCTTTACCTGCGTTTTCATTTCCAAAGATTTCTGCGTGGGCTGTGAATGAACTGTACACCAATGCCTATATAGTTTATACCCTTACTTCCAACTCAAATTCCAAAGATCTGGGTACTGTAGCACGTGCAATACTCAGCAACTTGTTTTGGTTGTGTTTGGGCGATTGATTCCTAATTATGTCGTATAAAACACTGTTCGGGGTTTGGACATAACGTGTCCAAGTGTTTGGTCGGTAACGTTTCTACTTCGTCAGATTACATCAAACGTTGTGCTATTTATGTCCATCATCCGCAATCGCTGACTTGGTTGATGCACTTCATCGTATCCCAATTGTGTGGATTGATGCTCATGATGTCAATCACTGGATTGTCTGGTCCATACTCGATTACTAGTATTTACAGACTGCCGTCGTATAGCTGGAATATTGCTGAGTGCGGCGTAAAACAACAAACAAACAAACAAAGTAATTGGAACGTTCCCCCAGCAGCTGTAGGTACAATTAAATGTGTCAAGCTGATCATTTTTTTTGTCAATTCGGAGAAAAAGTGAACAAGGGCTTTTGCTACACACGGTGTCGTAAAAAATGTCTTTTAAATTATTATTAAAATGCTTTATTATAGTGCTTTTTTCATTGTTCACTTTCAAAATCACCTACATTTGTACTGTTTTTGTGGACAGTGAGAATATTTGAACATTCTTTCCATATGCGAATTTGATATGGGACGTAAAAATCTCTCAACTCTCTTTTATGAAGCAAAGAAAAAATCTCAGCCTCGAAAAATGAAGAAAAAAACATGACTACCCAAAAATCCGCCCGCCCCTACATATCAAAGGTCCGCCCCTTAGCAAATTCTTTTGTCAATACTATATATAATTGAAAGCCAATATGATTTTCATACAAGTTAATAGAGGATTTATGAGCATGAACACTCACAGATAGATATATATATCTATCTGTGAGTGTTCATGTCATACTATGTTTACGATACAAGCGTCTAAATTCCGGTATGTCGTAAACATAGTATGGCATGAACAAGAATATAATGTTCTATTTATTACGGAAAAGGATGTCTACATTCAGAGACGGATTCTAGTGTTTACCTACGAGGACAGCAAGTCGCAACAGCAGCGGAACCGCAATTTGTCGAATGACGTAAACTATCTTCAGCTATGATGACGTTTCTAGTGTGACGTCATTTCGACCTCACGTCACAATTACATTCGACTGACGTCAACAATGCCGTCCGGATGACGGAAACAATACACTGTTGTCCCGTGACGTGATATGACCCTAGGGCACATACGATTTTTATGAACCCGATTATATGTTTGCCCTCGTATTATTCATTACGAGCCTCATATTGTGAACTTTGGTGTTAGTTCATATACTTAGGAGATAAACGTACTGTGTTTTCAATGTAGAGCCAGGTTACCTGTAGATTTAAACCCGCTAAATTGAATTTGGAATGCGCGTGAGGTTTCAAATGTTAAATTTAGCGCGGTTAAATCTACAGGTAACCTGGCTCTACATTGAAAACACAGTATGTTTATCTCCATTCTACCATGACAAAATAAAACGTGAACTCTTTGGTGTTAGCATATAAGCACGGCAACTTAGTAAGCTAACATGAGGTGGGCATCCCTAAAGAAAACAAAGCAAGCTTTACAAGGCTTTCGCTCAACATCGCACGTCACCATTATGACGTCATATCGCCCATTGTGACGCAAAAGGTATGACGTCACAGTCGTATATAGATAAGCGCCCAAATTCCAAGGTCTCTGTTGTTTCCAAAACGTAAATACATTCCCTTTGTTCATTTCTATCGTGTTTTCTGCACAAAATGTATTGCCACACATTCTTTGAATATTGTAGTAACCGCATTTTGTAATCTATAATTGTAGATATAATTATTTAAATATGCCTACCAACCAATGACTGAAAAAAGTACTATTCTATGAATATTAGCTTCCGCGGTAATGCGGCCTTCAAACCAGCTGTTTCAATCAGAGGGGGTTTGTTGTGATTTAATAGCCTCTGATTGACCAGTCAGAATAGAGTAAATTCCAAATTCATGGTAGAATTACCATTCGCCATTGGATACTTAATTTGGATCTACTACAAATTAATTTCTTTATATCTTATTTGACCATAAGAACCCAATAACACGCACGCACGCACGCACGCACGCACGCACACACACACACACACACACACACACACACACACACTTTCAGACCATGATGACGATACGCATTATACATTATTACCGCTAATACGAAGTTAACCGTTTTGAATATCAGAATAAATGATTTTCCGTTTGTAATTCATTTACCCTACCCAAAACGCTTTTGTTCCCACAACCCATGGTAGTTTCACTGTCAACATGCGATCTTCTATTTTAACATATATACATTGTCATTTCAACGTAGATTCACGACATTAATTGAAAAGATTGATTCAACATTGTTGTGCCTGCTTTGAAGCCATGTATCAGGGAGAGGGGCGTCAAAACATGGCTCCGGTGAATCTGGGTGATCAGTCAACGCTTTAATAATATAATCTCCTTTGACTAGCCTATCGCCATTGCTTCGTCGGTTAAGATTATTTATATAAACAAATGACAGATCATGTCATAAGTGTTGTATATTTCACGCAGGTGTTTGCCAGAATTGTCACGCGGCGTCATGGTTACGAGCTCAGCCAATCAGGACACACTTCCGGTGCACGAGTTTGTCACGCGCGTAATTCAGACTCCATAGAGGGAAGCAGACGAGACTAAATTTATCAA